GTTCCTGACACTGGGGTCACTCAGCCAAGTTTCTGACATGGTGTTAGCGAACGAGTGAAGGCCCCTTGCAGCGTCGGTTCTCGAAAATTGAATTGGGGTTGTCTGGGCGTCCGCGTGGGCAGATCGGGCAGCATTATCAGCAAGGTCATTACCGACAATACCACAATGTCCCGGTAACCACTGGAACACCAAGTCATGTCCTTTTGATAAAACTTCGTGAATCACTTCTCTTATTTCATTCACTAGTTGTTGATGCTCCCTCTGTCGTAAAGCTGATTGCAAGCTTTGAAAGGATGCCTTGGAGTCGCAGAACACAGCCCATTTTTGAGGTCGGGCTTCCGCGATATAAAGTATAGCAGCACGTAAGGCGGCAAGCTCCGCTGCTGTGGATGTTGTCCTATGCGACAATTTGAGCTTTATAGTGACCTGGTACGCCGGGATGACAACAGCACCTGTGGAGCTGTCAGCCGAGACCGATCCATCGGTGTAAATGTGGGTCCTCTGGCCGTATTTTTCATTGAGTAGCGACAATGTCACCTGTCGTAGGACCACTGTTGAATGATGGCTCTTGTTCGTTATTCCTGGAATAGTGAGGCACACCTGTGGTTGTTGTAGGCACCACGGGGGTGACGCTGGTCTTGTTGCTGGAGTGAAGCCAAAAGGAAGGCATTCTCTATGGGCAGAAATAATCTTTGAAAACATCGCGTGTGGTCTTTGAAGTGGCAACACTGCAACATGGTGACCAGGAACTCGGCAGAGGTGTCTTATGTGGGCTCTCAAATTGTCAGTGGTGATGTATGTTCGAATTGGATGCTCTCTTGCGATCATAATTGCCCCGTAGGTTGAGGTGCATCGCGGCAATAATCCTAAGCACACGCGTAGTGCTTGTCCTTGCAGACTTTCGAGAGTGCGGATGTTCATCTTGCACGTACTTGATAGTAACGGCAAGCTGTAGCACAAAAATCCCAGAAACAGAGTCCTGTATAGCTGCATCATTGACCTTATCGATGCGCCTCAAGATTTTCCGCAGAGGAACCGCATTATATGGACGATGGAAGTTAGCCTTCTCTTCAGGTAATTGCAGTGGGCACTCCACAAAAGGTCCCTGTCAATAATCACACCCAGGAAGCGATGGTTTTTCTGGTATGGAATATTTTGTCCATTGATGGTAACGGGGTATTGTGTCATGGCTCTGCGAGTAAACGCAACCAATGCACATTTCTCCGTTGAGACGGAAAGACCTTGCTTGCGGAGATATGAGCATGTCAGGGTGGCAGCCTGCTGGACTCTTGCACGTACTTGTAGACGAGTTACAGCCGAAGTCCATAGACAAATATCGTCAGCATATATGGATATGAGGATGGTACTTGGCAAAATTTCACAAAGTCCTACCATCACAAGGTTAAATAAAGTGGGACTTAATACGGCACCCTGAGGGACGCCACAGGAGGTATAGTAATTGGTGGTAGGTCCATCTGAGGTTTGTACAAAAAAGGACCTTCTCGTCAAATAATCCTGGATCCATTGGAACATCCGACCACCGATTCCAACAGCTTCCAACGAGTCTAGGATGGCTTTATGTGTTACGTTATCATAAGCCCCTTTGACGTCGAGGAAGAGTGCCAGTGGTATGCGCTTGAGGCTCTTCTGTTGCAGGATAAATGTTGTGAGATCAATCACGTTGTCAAGAGATGACCTACCTCGCCGAAAACCCGTCATGCAGTTTGGGTATATGTTGTAGTGCTCGAGGTACCATTCTAGGCGTGTAAGTATCATCCTTTCCATGACTTTTCCTACGAAACTTGCGAGGGCAACAGGGCGAAATGATGTCGAATCAAATGGTGACTTTCCTGCTTTGAGTAGTGGCACAAGTCGACTTATCTTCCAATCCTGGGGAACATTGCCCGCAAGCCATGAGTGGTTGTAATAGCTTAACAACTGTCCCCTTGCCTCCTGTTGAAGGTTGGCTAGAGCGGTGTAGGTGATGTCATCGGGTCCTGGTGAAGATGATCGTCGGGAAGCCGCCAAAGATGCGTCAAGTTCTTCTATAGTGAAAAGATTGTCCATTTCATAGATGCGGGGTTCAGGGATAACACTCCTAATGGTGCCAGCGGACAAGGCGGAGACACCAGCGATTCGCGTACAAAACTCATTTGCCACTTCAAGCTGGGTGTGGCCTGAATGTAGGGCTAAAGCCATGAATGGATGTCTTTGTTGGGGAGTCGAGCGCAGGCCACGAATAGTGCTCCAGATGCGTGACAACGGCTTTCGGGGATCCAATGATTCACAGAATGATTTCCAGCATTCCTGTTCAAGTTTGTCTAAACGTCGTTGGACTTTTTTCTGTATGCATCGTGCCAGCCTCAAGTCGCATATTGCTTTCGTCTGCCTGTATCTTCTTTCCGTCCTTCGGCGAAGCGCGCGCAGTTTTTCCAGTTCAACGTCGCAATCTGAATGCTTACCGGTGAACGGGAGGAGACAGGAAGCTTCCCTCATTGCCTCTTTGATGACATCCTCCAAGTTCTGGTCAGGGTCTTCACGGCATGTATTTTCCATGAGTCGCTGAAATTTGGACCAATCAATTCTTCGTATTGTGGTCTTAGGAAAGGAGTTAGTAATACCCCTTATTCGCATATAAGTTGGAATGTGGTCACTCTCATGCGTTTCGATGTCTGAAAACCAGTGCACTTGCGACCGGAAGTTTCTGGATACCAGAGTCAAATCGAGGCAACTGCTGTACGTAAGGCCCCGCAGGTATGTAGGACTGCCATCATTTAAGAAACATAGGTCATGCTTGGAAGCGAATGACACGAGGTTTCTTCCTTTAGCGTTGATCGTCGAACTACCCCAGATTAAGTGATGTGCGTTCAAGTCTCCAGTTATAACCCACGGGCCCGTAGTTGTTGTCAGTATGTCTCGTAGTCGGTCTTGTTCAAATCGTCCGGATGGTGATATGTAGACACCAATGAGTGTGAATGACACTTTTTCCTTTTTAACACGTAAGCAGACATATTGATTGTCATCATGCGGTTGAACTGCATGATGCACATATGTGAAATCTGTGCGAATGTAAACAACCACCTTGCTGCGTTCCTCGCACGTTGAAGAAACGAAAGATTCATACCCTGATAGTTTAGGAGGTTGTTGCACGTTTGGTTCACATATAACTATCATAGGAATACGATTCATGAATATATAATGACGGAACGAAGAGATGCGGGATCTCAGGCCTCTCGCGTTCCACTGCATTATCGACGCTTGTCGGACCTCGTTGCGGAAGGAGAAAATTGGTCGAGTCAAGGTTGCTACTGGAGACTTGCAAATACTGGACTTAGAGCATCCAGTACTTGTAGTGCACTCTGAGCGAGTGGAGACTTCAGGCAGCTGCACAGCTTTCGCATGGCATCCAGCAGTGTTCGGAACATTCTGATGACTTCTGTGTCCTCTTCAGGCAGCTTGTCAGTGGCTGGCTGGAGTGATGTGACTGTCGATGTGCGCTTAGGATTTGCAGGTGGCTGTGATTTCGGCAATGAAGGCCAAACTGATTCATCTGCAACAGTGCTGCTCGTTGGTTTGTTGACCGCGCTGGCCGCCTTCAGTCTGAGAGGCAAGGGCAGTGGAAGAGAAGGGTGGTGGAGTGGTGCTTTCGATGCAGCGTCTGCGGCATTCTTTGATGAACTGTGGCGACGGTGGCGCCTCTTTCGGACGGTCCTGGCAGCCTCTCGATGCGACGAATTGTCTCTGACCATTTGTTTCAATACCGCTATTTCTCTTTGGATTTTTGGGGCATTCTTTTGACGAAGCTGCATGTGACCCATGACAATTCGAGCATTTGAGGGTAGTTGCTTCGCAGTTATCTGCAAAATGGGCTTCCGCGCAACAAGGACACACCGTCCTATTTTCGCATACGCTTCTCACGTGGCCCATCTTCATGCACTTGTAACACTGTAAGGGCTTCAGTATGAAAGGTCGCACTGAATGCCGAAAATGGCCCACCTTTACGTGTCAAGGAAGAGAGTCGCCCTTGAACATGATCTTCAAGCAGCGTGAGTTTCCCAAACGGACAACTTTTGCGATGACGCTGGCTTCATTTGCCGGTTTGACCAGAACATCAACGTCGGAGCTGGGAATGGCAGTATCCACATCGTAGATGACCCCAGTGACAATGTTAGAGCTCACAGGAATGTAGGAGCGAACTTTCATTCCCCCCAACTCGTTGACGTTGCGCAGTACATTAAGTGCCACAGCATGCAAAACGTCGATGGCCAATACGTTCTTACGCATGTTCACTCTGATGTCTGTGATCTCGTTTGGCACGAGTCCTTCCAGCATTACCGAAACAGATTGCCTGTTGAGGCGCTTCATGTTACCGTCTGGTACCTCAGGGACAAAAAGGATAGTGTTTGTCACGGGTCTCCTTGGCACTCTGTCGTTCAACGTACTCGATGACGAAGATGTTCTGACGTTCCGCCTCTTCGCTTTACGGCTCAGCACCAGCTTAAAATCGTCGTCGTCAGAAGGCTCTTCGCTGCTCATTGAGTAAACAAGAGTGCCCTCGCTGTCGTAGTCGCGGTAGAGTCCCGTACGCTTCCTGGATGCGGCCACCGCCGACACCGTCGTAACTGGCGGACGTCCGTGGGGGTCCACGTCCATCACCGACGGACACGGATGTGGTATTCGCGAAGTTCACTTAAAGTTAGGTGAAAAAAGAGAGCACCTACTGAAACTGCGATCTGCTAAGCAATCACTTCGTCGTCCAAGGATAAATAAAGAATGCTCATATGGATAGGAGAGCTTTTAAATCAAGAACGTTAATTAAGAAAACAATGAAATAATATTTTTGTAGTAAGTAGAATAGGTTATGCACTATATACAATTAAAATCGACAGTTGCCTTATTTCTTTTCCTAAATACAGCATAAATTCCTTGGTCTACTTTCTTTATAGTATGCAGATGGTCTACATTCACCTGACAGCAACAATGACAAATTTTTGGCTTACAAATGGAAAACCGAATTCCATTGGCTCCATGGTCAGTATGTGGTCGTGGAGGAGTTGAAGGCTCATCTGTTGAGGACTGTGAACCAAGGTGGGAACCTGGTCGTGGAGGCAGGCTGGGGGCACCACAGGACCGCACAGTTCCAATGCAAACTTTGTGGACACCAAGACCACAGACTGAGGGAAAGATAAACAGTACTACTTACGCAACAAGCAATGAACAGGTGAACAAGCTGGCAAATTTTTAAAGTAGGTTCTTTAAAGTAGGTGCGGCTATCACAAACATGAATTTTATACATGCAGGTGTCATAGCCTCACTTGTTATGGGATCATTTATTTTGCTCATCATTGCTCTTCACCACCATCTTCCTTTCCCCTACCCTTAGTGAAAACGCAATAGGCTAAAAGTGTCCACATCAACTTTGTACTGTCAAAATTACCTAACAAAATTTTAAAAATCAGCCACTGCTGAAGAACACATATCAGTCATGAAGCAGAATAATCCCAGACTCAACATTATGCTAATCCTCTTAAAGGACCTGTTTACCAATGTCCAAACTGTCCTGAATACAGCATTCTGCAGTCTTACGTTGATTATTTGCTCAAGTGGAACCCCATGGTGCAATCGACAAAGACAACATTTGACAGCTTTCATTACCCGAAGCAAGAGAATATTTTTGACTGCTTTGAATTATTCACTCAAAATTATTTGTATATATAGAAAAAAAAAGCCTTCAGTTGGTAAATCGAAGCTAACTTCTAATTTACAATAATAAAAAAATTCCTCACCTGTGCATTTATAGCCTTGAAAGAAAATTCCCCTGGAGAAGGAAGGATGCAAACGCATTTAGGTAGTGGTCAATAATTACGACTGCACAACGGGAGGTGCTCGAGACTTACGGTAGCAACTTGTTGCAGTCTGCACAGTAAGTGGGAACCTTGAATGTGTGCATTATAAACTGGTGGTCAGTGTACTTGGCAACCGAGGGGTTAATGTTGTCCCTGCCCATTGAAAAACAAACACATACGAATAAATGCTACTCCAAAAGAAATATTGAATGCTTAAAAAGTGCACACTAATGATTTTTATACAACAGTGCTGTACTCAATCTAAAAGATGTAAAAAAAAAAAGGAAGCATGCAGCAGTCTTGTGCAAAATGAAATCGTCCCAATGCAATGTTTTTCATTTTCTGTGATACTTCGTGCACAGGTGCAATGAACCGAAAATATCAGCAATGCCTGCCACTCTTTAATGAGAGAGTCTGTTGAAGAACTATGAGGAAACTAGGTTCGTGTTGAAGAATTTAAAATACAACGACCTATGCATGCCAAGTTTCCTGCACAGGAAATGAAGAGTGTTGACAGTCAAGTTGGCTTCAAAAGCCGATACATGAAAAAGGATGTGTGCACTAACTGAATGCGCAGCCACATTGACAAAGACCACGAAATAATTTGCATGCATGCTTACATGTCTACATAAATGGGATTAAGATTTTTACAGCCGTAATCACAACTCATTCTTGCAAGCATGTAGCTGCATTTGCATGTGGGCAGATTCTAAATTTCTTCCCAAAGGAAGTGTGGATATACGATATGATGTTTAATAATAATAATAATAATAATAATAATAATAATAATACTAATAATAATAATAATAATAATAATAATAATAATAATAATAATAATAATAATAATAATAAATTAATTCAGTTACCTCACAAGTTACTAGAAAAAAACAATTCAAACAACTCTGCCAATAACAACATATTTTTTTATGCACTTCAATAACCATTCTACCTTTATTGTTTCTAAACAAAAACAGCGACAACAAAAACAGCAGCAGCAACAACAACAACAGAGAAGAGGAATGAGTTGACGAGTTCATCATGTACTCTGCACTAGCTATGCACACACAAACTTCAGGGGAGGTCAGACTGTTTGGACAGCACCCCGAGTTCATGCATGTGCACATGCATAAATGAGCCCTTCATTCTCATGCACAGAAACACAATTATGATACTATAACAAAAATATATGCCACAAAAGTGCAACTAACATCGCCTTTTCAATGGCCTCAATCCATTTTTTCTTCATTTCTTCTGTTTTAGCATACATTGTGTAAGCCGTTCTGTTCTCAACATGGACCAGGTACCAGTAATACTGAAAAGAGTAAAAAAATTAAAATTAAATTGCATTAAAGCATATATGCATTAAAGAAGTGGATATGCATATGCATTGATTGATAAAAACTGTAAAAAAAGTCCTAAAATTCTACTGTCATGACAGAAACACTGGCTCTACTATCTAATCTAGGCTAATCAAGACAAATGATCACACTAAAATCATGAGCATAGAATTCTTGCTTAAAAAAGAAAAAAAAAACCTAAATTGCTTTTATGCAAAAACACAGCTACTTAGGACCTTTCAACTTACTCGAGTTGCCATTCTTGCATTGGCTGGTGCATTCTCGAGCCTGTAGTCACAAAGAGCCAGGGCAGACTTGTAGATGTATTGCTCTCCCTGAGAAAGCATGAAGAGCATGTGTGCATTGTGAATAACACCAGGACATTCAACACATCAAATCACACAGACATCCTACGGTCACAACAGCAAGCCATTCAAAATGCACAAAGCAAGCATTGCAATGTTACATGATGTGACGTGGAGCAGTCGTTTGGTTTTTTTTTTTCTATTAGAATTCATGCTTCTTTAACGTCTAAAGAGTAAATTAAGCAGTATGTTGTTTTTACCCTCTCATCCTTTAAAAATGCTCAAAACAGAGGGCGGGAGACACAGTTTATTGAAAAATTTTATGTAGGGCAATTTAAATACACTAGTGCATGTTAACGACTGCTAAAGAGCATAATTTTCACAGCTAGTCCAGGAGACAGATCACAAAGCAAGGCTCTGCTAGTCCCTCAGGGTGCACTTTTTATTTCATGCACTACTCTTTCTGATAGCTTGACTATAAAAAAATCTACCTTAATGCACAAACGAATAATATTTGTTATGCACATTACTTTACAGTACACATAACTAATTTATGGTCGGTCAGTGCTTTCTTGTTAGAAAAAGTCTAATTTTATGCAATTTGCCTTTTTTTAACAGCAGCTAAGATTAATGATGTCAAGTACATGATGCTGACAAACATGCATGTATCAAATAAGTTTAGTTCAACACCTGAATCACATCTAAAAAAATTGTCAAAGATTACACACATGCACATCAACGAAACGTCTAACAAAACATCTGCATGTTGTAGATGCATTAGTCCTGAAGCTGCATGCAAATGAAGCAACAACACAATGCATTGGTAATTTGACTAGGTAACAAGATGTTCTACACCAACACAATAACAATACTGAGAATAGCAGTTACCCCAAAAAGTTTATCCATGATCTGAGATGCCAGCCAAAGGAAAAAAAGATAAGAAGGTAAAAGAATCAACGTGTTACACAGTGCGTCAATAGGATGATCAAAATGTCGACAAAAAGTGCAAATTTTTACTTTGAGAGAGATAAAAAGGTTTTGGAAAAAAAAAAAAAATAAAGTTAGCATTTCTTACCTTAGTAGACTTGCACATAAGCATCATTCTGTCAAAAATGAAAATGTATCTGGAAAGAAAACATTTCATATGGTAAACTGTCAAAGGAGCATTTACATCACAATGTAAGTGTGTCTGCTTTCATGCTTGGCTATACAAAAGACAAAAAAGACAATAAGACAAAAAAAGTGAACTTGTTAAAGGCTCTTGTGAGGCAAAAAAATTTCAGGAAACCAATTTAAATGAGAAGAATCAGTGCCAAATATGACCCACATGAATTTCTGCCTTCGATCTTTCGAAGAGGCAATGCAGAAACAGATGTCACATAATTTGCATATTTATTCTTTGGCTTCCTGATACTATAACACAAAACTTTGCCCAAATTATCACTGCCCTTTCAATAGATGCCCACAAATGTGTAGCACTGACTACTACACTCAAACCCACTTGTAACAATTATAAAAAAAACATGAAAATGTCATTGTTATAACTGATAATTACTATAACTAAGTTGAGCAAAAATCAATAAATAGGGGGGACAACAGGCTGTCCCCCTAAAAAAACTACAATATTGGATGGGATATGCTAATGTACGACACAGCTTTCGACTTTTCAGTCAAGCTTTAAAGCTCAAATACTTTCACGACACCACTCAAAGACCTATAGGGTGAATGTATCAGAACATCTGAAGTCATTGTATGCTGAAACTTTTTGAAGTCTCATTTTTTGGATTAGTGCTCAAATGGCATGTCCAAAAGAGTATTTAACAGAAGCCACCACTGCTGCCATGTCTTATCATCTCGCAGGCTCAAAACAGCACTGTCGTAAATTTATCAGCTTGTGGCAGAAGCAGATTCTAAAAGTGAGCTCCGCTGCAATCCAAGACACTATGCGATGAAGCATACTGCGAGTCCAAAAGGGTGTGGTGCATGGTTGGTGATACCACAAAAATTAAAAAACAGGTCCTATTGTATGAACATTCATATGTGACATCCATTGAGATTTTGGGCAGGGTTGAAGCACCTCAAGTTCATTGTTTTCTTATTTCAAAGATATGCATTTATAGCTTTTCAGCACCGACACTCAGCAGCTGGAATTTATTTTATGACTGATAATGTGTCATGGAGTCATTGCTGCAAGTGGTTTACCATAGAAAATACACAAATGTTCACAGTGCACCAGCTTCTCGTTGTTATAATGAATATATTGCTAAAATTAGTATCATTATAAGTGGGCTCAACTGCATTTACAGCACATCCTCTCCATGCAACTAGTGATGCCCAAAGTATGGCATCCATGACATGTTTCCTCTATATTTGCTTCCAGTGGTTGCAGTCAACGAAACCACAGCCTTTAACATCAGTTTCAGTCACTCAGTGGAAGCCGTTGAGAGGGCATGAATTTCAGCAGAACCTATAGTATGATAGCAGTTATTTACTAATTTTAAAGAGTTTTTAGTTTGGCAAACAATTTGTCAATGTTACCTGTACCTATAAATGTGATGTGAGAGTGATCCACTGAAAGTATTACACTAATTTACACCACCAGTAGTACTAAGAGCCTCATCCTGTCCCCTGGAACAAACCTAAACGGCTTTTTTGCACACGTATCCCACAGTGCTTAACAAGGACAACCAGACTGTCAGAAGCCTTCATTATTTTTAAATAAACAACTGCATGAAGAAAAAATAAACAATAGCCAAAGAAAAAGACAAAGCTAAGTTTCAAGTTATGGGCAGAAAGCATAACTTGTGCATTTAGTGAATTTCAGATTATGTGAACTGCCTATATATGCCCTTCAGCGGTAGCGTGTAGAATTGTACGCATCAAACTTAGAGGCACGTCAGGCACTTTGTGTTTATTTTAATGGCTTGAAACATGGTGTGCACATTCGTGTAGGCATCTTGAGTGGACAAATACTGGTCATTTGGATTCTTCATGCTGTGTAATGCTGCAGAGGATCACTTTGATGGCGACACTACCGTGTTTGCTAGTGACATTATAACAACCAGTAGACGTGCAGTGTTCCAGGACCTACATCAAGAGTATTTTTTCCCCTATGTTTGTGATGAAAGCAACCAAAAACAATCTCTGCCTGCACTTGGGCATAATAGTCCTTTCTTTTTATGCAAAAATTCACGCTGACTGATTAAATATTTAGATATTTAATTACATGCTAATTAACAACAATTACCAAAACTCACACAAAACAAAACATTTCTTCATTTTATTTCTAGGAATGTAATGCTGAGTGCCTTGGAATCATGCCATGCAAGTTTGACACATTTGCAGACAATGGATCATAATTCTCGTCTGAAGGTGATATTGACCAATTTAAAAAAATGTGAGCTTTACAAGTTCGCATGCTTGGGTAAAGCATAATAGATCAAATTCAGCAAGCACCAAGTGCAAAATGTGTAAGTGCATAGGATACGACTTATGAGTATGATTATGGGCTAAAGCAACGAGACAATTGCACACAAACTTTTGAGGTATTTCATAGAAGAAACCAAGGAATGTTTCACATCAGCAATTCTTTTGTATCTGCGGTTTACAGGAAGTTAAATGAAGGTTTTTTTTTACTTAACATGTGTTCTTTGCCAAAAAGTGTACATATGCACATTAGATTTTTTTTTGCCGAAGTTATTCCAGTCCACTAAGTATGAATTAAATGCAAGTATAGCACTTTTGTAGTGCCATCTTCTGCATTTTGTGCTTTTCAAGCTTGCCTTTCCTAGTAATCGCAGTATGCAGACAGTGATGGCATCACAATTTTCCTTTCAGTCTAAACAACTTTATATAACTGAAGAACTTTGATGTCTGACGGAACTGATTTACATCAGTTTTAAGCCTGGAAACGTATATACAGTGAAAACTTAATAATACTAGTACACTAACACCAACATGTCCCAGAATCGTGTCCCACCATGTTACATGTACATGTAACATGTCCCAACACGTTACAGACTAAGAAACAAGAGCCATTAGGGGCCTATTAGTTGATTATTATGCACAAGCATACCCCGAGTGACTTGCAGTTTGTATGTTGTACTATACACTGTACAGCATTAATAAGCATAACAGTCTATCTTCTTCGAGCTTTATTATTTAATCTTTGTTCAGCGGAATAAAAATGCTTAAGCAAATGAATCCTCCTATTAAAATTCATAAGGTGGAGATAGATCCATTAAAAGGAAGCCTGCGATGTAGATGACAAATGACCCTTTATAAACATTCAATTAAAACTTTTAGATGAACAGTGACAACTATTACTTACCTATTTTTAATTTTGTTGTTATCATCATGCGACTTAATTTTAAGTTCTCCATCCTTCAACAATCTTCCGTAGTCTTTCAACTCCATGTTCTGGGGCTGTAAATAGAGTCAATTTAGATTGCATAATGCATCTCGCTATGCATTAGAGTAACTGAAGTATTCAGGGTATGAATCACAGTTAGTGTTACGAATATTTTTGAATGAATCAAGACGATCCATACTAAAGTCCACACAGAATAAAAATCATGTTTATTTGCAGTTGCAAAATGTAGTACATAAATGAAGATACAGAGGAGGTCCCAGAACAGTGAGCTGTAAGGTACCCTCCTATCAGTGCATAATATATATACCGTATTTACTCGCATAATCGGCGCACTCACATAATAGGCGCACCCCTAGTTTGGTCGCGGAAAATTCGATTTTTTTAATTCCGCGCATAATAGGCGCACCCCGAACTTGGCCGTGATCAGAAACGATTCTACCCCCCAGCGGTACAGTTGGAACGCGGTCCCCGTACCCTGAAGAAAAAAAGAAGGCAAATCGACGAGCAAATAAAAAAAATTCGAAGTGCAACGATCTAACCAACGTGTTTGTAGAAATAAAACTTGAAAAAAAAAAAAAAAAAAAGCGTCCATGAGCGAAAAAAAAAAAAAAAAACGGCTGTTCCATCAATTACTGATACCCCCCAAATCGCCGCGCTTTTTGGAGGTCACGTGTACAACGCCGGGGGCTCGATTGCCATCACCACCATCAGAGAAAAAGAAAGAAACGCCATTTTGCAAGCGGTGTGCGTATGTTGTGGTCGTGTATTGAACTTTGGTTTCACCATGGGGAAGTACGCGAGCTACACGGCTGGGTTTAAACTGAAGGCAGTGCAGTACGCGCTGGAGCACGGCAACCGGGCTGCAAGCAGGCATTTCGGCATTGGAGAAACCAGTATTCGGTACTGGAGGGACCAAGAAGAAAAACTTAAGGCGACGAAGAAGACACGACGGGCTTTCCGCGGTGCCAAGACCGGCAGGTATCCGAACGTCGAAGAGCAACTGGTCCGGCATATACGGGAGCTACTACAAGACGGCTGTGCTGTGTCGTTGGATATTGTGCAGACTGAGGCGCGCAGAATAGCCCGAGCGCAGGGCATCGAACCAAAAGAGTTCAAAGCCAGCTCCGGATGGACAACTCGTTTCATGCGGCGCCATGGCCTCGCACTACGAAGGCGGACCACCTTGTGCCAGCGCTTGCCCGCAGCATATGAGGACAAAGTGGTGGACTTCCACAGTTTTGTTTTGTTTCCCTATTCGGAGTTTGACTCCGAATAGGGAAAAGGAGGAACAGCTACGACTTTTGTGTAAATAAATTTTACGTGTGTGTGTGTGCAGTTGACGGCTCTCGCTTGTTCATTAAAAGGTACGTAGGTATGCTTGTTTTATGCTGAATTAATTGGTAAACGATAAAGTCGCCTTTTACTTGACAAGTGTGCAGATTTAAAGCGCGAGAACCGAGTTGAAAAAATTTTCGAAAATTTTACCCCGCGCAATTGGCGCACCCCTAACTTCGAGCCGGATTTGCTGAAAAAAAAGTGCGCCTATTATGCGAGTAAATACGGTATATATATATATAGGTTGTCACGGTGGTTGAGTGGCCGTAGTGTTGCAAGTAGTCAAGTAGATCCTCCTTGAGAAGTCACAACGTGGTTTATTTAGACGTTTCAGCCATCAGGATTGATGAAGGCCAGACTCTGGCTGAAACGTTGAAATAAACAACGTTGTGACTGCTCACGGAGGATCTACTTGACTATATAATATATATATACACAGCTCAGTGGTAAAGCATCGAACGCGTTGTTCGAAGGTCGCAGGTTCGGTTCCTGCTCACGGCAAGTTATTTTTTCACTAACTTTTCTTTCTTTACATCTACATTAGAATTGGTCTGATAACTTTCCATATATATGTATATATATATATATATATATATATATATATATATATATATATATATATATATATATATATATATATATATATATATATATATATATATATATATATATATTGTTGACAGCAGGGTAATAAGATGTAATATTACAGGTAGTAAAGAAACAAACATACAATATATCAATGAACCTTGCAAGATTGCTTGAACCTACAAAATATTAATTGAACTGATATTGACGATAAAAAAACAATAAAAATACAAATTTTATAGATTATTGAACAAAGTAATTTCACAGAAATAAAAAAGAATACAAAATATCAAGCAACTTCTACATGGTTGAACTTAGCACAAATGTGACTATTTTACATGTGTGTTTCAGAATGAGAAAAATATATTAATCATTCTTGAAAAAGAATAAAGCTTCCACTTTACAATTATATGATGACAGGGATTGTTTGATGTACCTGTACTCCTAACAATATACTTTTAGCAATTTTTCATGTAAAAAAGAAGGCAGCTGCACTAAGTGTGATAAACTGCAGTGTTTCTGGCTGCTACACAGAGTTGCCTGTAACACTGAGCTTTTCTAATAAGGTGTACCCACGAAATAAAAGTGCAGCATGTAAAGATAAAACAAGACAAAGATAATTACAACAGATGACATTACAAACACTCAATTTGATGGGCTCAATTATAATTTGAGTAATAATGTTATGTAGGCTTCCTTCCCACTTGTCCATGTCTTGTTGAGAGCAGAGTTCGATTGTTTCCTAATCTATCTGCAGTGTGCTTGTGTTGGCAATACATATTCATTACAAAAATGCTCCAATAGTGACACTCCTTTCACCTTCGCACCCAAAGTGTATATTGTGGTGTACCAAAGTGTACTTTGACACAGCTTGAGTGACATTGAAGTGACTAATAACAAAAACTTGCCAATTAAGTTTTTAATTGTTCACATGAGGGCAATAGTTCAAGTGGCAACATTATGAGCTGTGACAATTTGTGATATACCCTTTGTTCTATAAATCACAAAGTTGCATGCAATTTGTGATCCTCGCTACTGAAATGTAATGGAGATACCAAAACTGACTGAGTCCTATGTCTAGAGAATCTGCCCACATTGTTACGTTAGGCTGGATTTACCATAATGAAAAAGTGATAAAATTTTATTTACAACATTTCGAAGCAGAATCTGGTTGGGTAAAGCAGTAAGACATCTGAAATACACGAGTAAATCACTTATTTTTTTGCCTGACGTGTGGTGCTTATCTGTTTCTTTCTTAAACTACAAGAAGGTGCAAACAGTTCTGTCGACTGTCTGCAAGCAGATGCGCCCAGTGACTGCCCAGAGTTTTATGATGTGCAAAGAGAGGAAAGGTGGATATTGTAGTTTTCTTGTGTGCCTTATGAAACCAATACTAAACATTACATGTAAAGGCAAGGCAGAATGCTGCTGCAATTAGAGATCACATGCTGCTTTCCACAACAAAATATACTGCTTAGGCATACCTTAAAATTTTCTTACTTCCTTGCCACAGGAAGTTCTGATCTGGCGTAACAGAGTGGCTGCGTTTCATGCACACCATGCATGGTAAGTTTTTATATTGCTACTAAAATTCAATGATGAATATTTCAAATTACATGCAAACACTTGTGATTTCTGAAGAAATGATTATGCCATATATTGTGACAGCCTACAATGTTCCTATATAAATATTGATATTGCCCACTAGTCAATATTTTAAGTTGAAACATTTCTGTTAATTAGTGACTTCAATGTCTCTTGAGCCACGACAAAGTATTTCCACCTCGACATTGAGTTTGTGTGCAAAGCCGATAAGGTACTGACTGTCATAGTATTTCTATGAAAAATTTGTATTGTTTAAAAACAGCTTGTAACGGGCAAGGTTCTCAAGCTGTCGAGTTCTTTTTTTTTTAAATAGTGAAGCTGTTATAGTGCGAATAATGGAGAGAGAGAGAAGTAAACGTTTATTTTGAAACAGTGCCCCGAGCAATACCCGGTGTCACCCTGAGGTGGGAGGGCTCCTTAGTCCAGGAACCCTCTGGCTTCTACTGCCCTCTTGGCCCTGGCGACGAGTTGTTGTTGGTATTCCAGGTCCTCGAGGACGAGCTTCGCCTCCCACGTTAGGTACAGTTAGGTCTTCAGTTAGGTTTTCGTTCGTCCGTCCTGCTTCATTGTCAGTCGTGTGTTCTTGCAGATTGCGCCTGGCAATACACTGGCATGCAAAAAGCAAGTGTGCCAGGACGTCCGGTACGTTGCAAAGCGGGCACATAGAGCTATATCTCGTTGGGTAGAGACGGTGCATTAGGGCCCCATGTGTGTATGTGCTGCTTTGCAGGCATCTCAGTATCACGCCTTCCTCTTTTGTCAGTTTTGGGTGTGGTGGAAGGTATACTTGTCGCTCCAGCTTGTAATGCTGGAGTAACGACGAGTAGGTGTTTTGAACAACTTCCGTCGAAATTCTGTTATTCGCAAGCAGTTATTATAATTGTCAACGATGGGCACACACTCTCTCTGTGCTCTTCATAATCTTCTTTGCTCCCACAGCACAAGCGCCGATTTTGTCCAGCGTGGGAAGCAATAACTCTGATGGGCAAAGGAATGAGTACATACAGAGAAAAAGGAATAGCGAGAAATAGGAAAATGGCAAAAACACACAGAAATACCAATAAACAGAGAGAGCATTGCTTGCACAAAAAAGCAAGTGTTTCCAACGCTATGCTAATACGACACGATCATGGCACCTACCCGTCGCCTTGCGTTCTACACCTTATCGTCTCAGAGATGGGCACGCACGCCACGTGCTTAGTTTTCCAAGATAACTGCCAGATAGCGCTCATGTCTCACGTGTGACGCGACTTGATGCGCTCGTTCGCCTCCGCTGCACGCTCGAGGCACTCTAACGCAGCGCCTCCAGAATACCATTCACCAATTTTCTTGCGCAGAACATCAAATAAACGTTTTGTTCTCTCTCTTCAGATGCAAGACTATTGTCTTTCGAAGACATTTTCAGTGTAACATGCAGATAAGGGGCCAATTTTTTTACTTCAGGAAAGCTCATTCACTTGCTCTTTATGTTTTGTTACGTTTGGCCTGGCAGTTCTCCTCAACAGACGCCATTGTGCATGAGCCGGTCTGCGAGAAGGCTTTCACCCCGATATCGGCGCCTGGTCGGAAGTGAAAAGTACGACGCTGTCCTGCAGGTGGGCCAGGCAGTTTGCTGTGGCAAGGTTACAATGAACTCGACGAAAGCTTTACAAACAGCTCTTCGTTGAGCCGGGTTCAACAGCGTAGGACGGCGCCACTGTTGCAGTTCTCATGGAGTCAACCTCTCGACTCGGCTATTGTTGCCTACAAGAGGTCGTCACAAAAGCACAGACAGTTTGGAAGCATGGGAAGGTGTCGCAGTGGGCGTTCTCAGGAATCGAGCACCTGGACAGCCGCGTTTGAGAATGCACCGGAACACTGTAGCTGAACGCAGCTATGAACCGCTGCTGACGTTCATGTCAGCCGCCATCTTCTGCCCAGAGGAGCTCAACTTTCCCCCTCCACCAGGCTCTACCCACTTGCCCTGCAATGTCTTGAAGGCGTGGGCCGGGTAAGTCATTGTGTGGTGCGCTTGTATTGCCCATTGGACATTTGCATCCCTGTTTCTCATCAGCAGAGTGATCCAATATTTGCACCCTTTCTGGTGGGTAGATCAAAGACTTAACGTCACTTGACTCGTGGCAACAGTGGTCGCCGCCTTCTTCAGACTGTCGTGTAAGGAATCGACGGGCTATAAAAGCCGAAGACTTTTTGTACATAATCGCAGAATCTCTGTACAGTTTCATCTTTCTCACCATGTAAATAAACCTTCGTTCCGTCTCTCAAAAAACGCATATCCTCGCTGACGATGATCGGCTATGCGGACGACGGCGGGGAGCCAGCTACCATAAAGAGACCAGCCGTACATGTCATTGACCCTCAATCCTTTACAGTATGCACAAACATCTTCATACTAGAATATGCTGTTCCAGCATAAAATAAATGTTCAGAAAGCTTACCAAGTCCACATCAGTAATGCTAGCCTGGATGTCTGCAATAATTTGCAGAGTCTCGTTGTCCCTCTTCACCTCATTAATATAATGAGCCAAATCCTGTAATGGCAAAAAATAGGTGCTTCATCAAAAAAATTTTCACAGCCAAAGTAACTGTACTTGAGACAACTTGTGATATAATTTATGTTTAAAAACTTTTCAAATAACAACATGAGCATGTGTGCATGCACGCACGCACACACGCACACACTACCAAATTTTAATCTCCTCACTTAAAATGACAATTTGCAGGTCTGCCTACACGTTCCTGTGGCACAGTACATTTATGACGCAGTAGCAAAGGAAAAGAAAAACGTGACTAAAGCTTCTTACGAGCATAGATTGCAGAGCTTTCTCTAAGCCATGATGGTCCTCATGCCCTTCAGCAGTGTTCTTCATAAGCTCCTAAAATAAAAAAGAAATGCTGAGCAATGAGCACTGATTCCTCTCACTGGGCATTACATATACACTGCAGGTCTATGATACTGCTAGATAAGAACACAAATGAAGATGTTGATGATGCAATATTGTCAGTAATACAATGTAGATGCAGCTGATTCTGATAAAGCATATTGTTAAGGGCATAACAAATGTACCTGTCTTACTTCCGTTCGAGTTGCAGTGTAACACACATAAATTTAAAAAAAAAGGGAAGAGAAGAAATGGATAACATGCTTTATTTTGAGCAAGTGCTTCATCACAATCTGCCATACCTGGAGCTCCCAAAGGCAGATTGTGATGGTGCAAAAAAAAAAAAAGGCCATCACCTAATTTACTTAGATGATGTCTCAGTTACAGCCTGCCTAAACTGTTCCAAAGGACATTTTTTTCAGTGGAATGAGTCTGTTCCACATGCATGTATTTTTATATAAATCGTTTCACTATTTTATTAAAATTTGAAGATTTCCCATTCCCCTGCCTTGCTTTTTCACTCCAGTTATGACATTTCTTGACCACACGAGCAAGGTGTTTTCTTAAACAGAAGGCCCCTTTCTCTCGTAAGATTCGACTATATTACAACAGCCATATGTTGTCAACAGTGTGTACCTTGCAGCAACAGTGTATAACAGCTTGCAGTGTATAACTGGTACTCTATGCTTAATTAAGAGAAAAAATTAACAAGTTCCTTTGAATTGGTAACTATAATATAGTTCAGCCATGTGCAATGCAACAAAGCACACTTGTGATAACTCACCTTCAACAGTAAATGATATTTTAGAACCCTCTGCATAGGAACAGAAAGCAGGTCACGTAGCTTAAACTTTCCATCATTTGCTTTTTGCTGGCAATTCTGAAACGACAATTAAAAAAACATGGCACACAATGTAATCTAATCTTGCATATGATTGCTATACATTGTGGTTATTATAATGCATATCTTTCCTTTTGCTGGAATTCTAGGAGGCCACAGAACAGGCAGTTTCAGCAGTTTCTTAGACAAGGACATTATTTTATTGAGACAGCAGCATTTTCTTAATTTTTCCTCAGTTGTACTCTCCCACAACAGAGTACAGGCCAACAATCCAATAGCACTATGTAAGGGTGCAGGGGTGCAGTCACAGAATAGTGAATCAGTTTAGCATAAAAACTTGGAATAATATACTTTAAATAATGTTTAACTGGAATATAAAATTTTTAGCCATTTAGACAAGTAAAATGTTGTTCAGGCAAATAATTTGGCTATCTTCTTTGTGATGTACACATTCAGCTTACAACCTTTTTGGTGCAATTGTAACATTCAGCATACATTTACATACCTTACTTATCTGCTCCGTCTGCGAAGGTTTCGAGGGTGTGAGCTGGCACAAGCTTGTGCTCCTCACATAAGCTAGCTAAAGTATGCATTACAGACATGATTTAGATTATACTTAGACACTGTTCGTTTTATAAGTTCCTTCAACTAAACCCATCAACATGCTACGTGCAAATTCACTAGCCTTATGGATGCTTATGCTTACTGCTCTTTGACCAATTTTTTATGTATAATTTTGTTTGTTTGAAGCTGTTCAACTTTCAATTTCTGCAATATATTTTACTCAGGAAATCTTGGTGCACCATGCTGAGTTTAGTTTCTTGTGTATGTCATCATGGTGAAGTCAGTGTAATTGAATTTGCATAAAACCTTTATATTTCCAATATTCCTTAGTACAATGTCTAAACCACTATTTAGCCAATCTATCATTGGAATGCTGTTTGAAATAAATTTCAAATATAAGTATCTGAGCCTGACAACAAATAAATGTACAACTACAAACTGCCATTTTGTCAAGAACAACTTATACGTGATCCACATGACGCCTTCCTCATCCACTAGAGCAGCTCTTGTGTGGAGTTCAACACCTTGCAAAAATTCTCAAGCAATGTTACACAATAATGTAGCGATTAACATATACAGCTCCCAAAAGCAGATTGTTAGAAAAACACGAGCTCAAATCCTAGTGGTTACAGTGGTTGTAGACTAGACATTTCAAGTTTCTTTTTACCCCCTTCACGATTTCGAGATTGTAGCATGATAAAGAAACCCACGTGGTCAATATTCACCACGAGACACCCAATATGGTATCCCTCAAAGTAATATTGTGGTTCTGTCACATAGCCTCATAATTTATCTAATGAAAAAAGGGGAATTCTAAAGGCTTGTTTTTTTTGTTAGGCACAATATTATGAGAATTATTAGTTCTCATCAATAATTTATCAAAAATTTTTATGCAGATGGTGAAGATCATGATTAGAAAGCTGGCCCAACAACGACATAATAATGCTATGGCAACAAAGTTCACTGTCAATTTTGAGCAGTTAACTGCCATTACAGTAAAAAGGCTCAGATAATTGTGCCTTCACTACAGTAAGTACTGAGCTTATCAACACTTTCACTTATCAATTAGGCACAAATGGTCTTAATTACATTAGCACGCTTCAAAAACAGATCGAATATTTAAGTTTGAGGAACAATCACCAAGACACATTGGTTGACCAGCTGTTTCTTGGAGCAAAGCTCATCAATTTGTTCTTGAGCCTTGGGCAGATTGGAGCAGTAGTCACCATAGACAATAAACTTCTCCTTCCAACGAAGAAAGCAATCGCTGATTTTGAGGTGCTGGGATGATACACAAGCTTTATGTAGGTCTGCATGAAAGCCTGTATGAGTTTCTGCAAGTTCCTGCAAAGGCCACATGACCATTTTAAGCAACACAGAACATCAGTGGACGAATAAAAAAAAAACATTTCACACTTATGGAGCCTTGTTTCATAAAAAATGACAAAAAAAATCACAGTCATTAGGACATCACCTTCCTTTTAAGAAAGCTTGCACAAACTTCCTTAAACACCGAGCTCCTTACTATGTCAGGAATGTTATGTTGAATTTCTGCATGCACGTTGATCCCAACCAAAAGGTACTAGTACCATAGCATTGCAGAATAGAAATGCACCTGAAGAAAAGAGGCACGCCTCTTGCCTTACGCAATAGTTCTTACTCAATAGACTAGAGTTACTAATCAAGCACGACTCTAATAATACATTTCACAGTTTGAAGGCGTAAGTGTCTTTACCAATTGGGCAAAAAGAGCCTTTGTCTACGCAATCAAAAGTGGTGGCAAAGCGTGTAATTTACAGCCCTGCTTCTAAAAATGAGTACTCTTGGTTGCAAAGTGGCAAGCCCCACAAAACTACAGCTAATTTGGAGTTTTCTTCCTGAAAAAAAGGAACTCGAGTAGGCCCCTTTCTTCATTACAACATTTCTGCATTGGCAGCAAGATTTGTATTCCATGCCTGGCAGGTGATTAAGTGGCAGGTGATTAAGAACGATACTCGGTTGATCAACATCAACGCCCACTGATTGTACTTACTACAATTCTACTATTGATTGTACTAGGTGACTACAGATGGGCAGTTTCTGGAAGAAAGTTTCAGCTTGCACTGTTCACATCAACCGAGTTTTTTGTGGCAATGTTACCCTATCGAAAAGTAAAAAATCAGGGCTGTTAACATACAGCCAAATGACAGTATGACAGGTGCAGATAAAGTTACCTGTCCCTAATAGTTCACAGTGTGATCAAGCACTTTTATCAAAAGTGCCACTGATAAAATGTGCAGCCTGCTTTGTACAATGGAATGGTGATGTACAAAAAATATATCACAGGTTGCAAGTGCTATCGTGTCTGCAGTTTGTTTAGGGCCCTCTTGAATTAAGCTTAAGTCCTTGATGTATATATGCATTATGTGTGCAGTATGTACTTCGTTGTGCCCTGTCTCTTGAAATGTACTATGACATGCACTATTGGTTATAAGTAAGGTAAACACTAAATAGATCAATGAAAAATCTTTATCAATTGTCTAACAAATTAATGGCCAGGAATGAAGTCTCCCACGCTCGAATGCCAAGGCCTTGCCTTCGCCTTTTTACAAGCCTGCTGGACTGCCCAAAGTTGGTCGGTGAGCTTCGAGTGCCAGAGAGAGACTTCTCACCTTGCCAAAAGAACATCAAGACTGATATCTTTGGCTTGAGCCTGTCATTCCCAGAGCATGTGTGTAAGCATAGCTGTGTCTGGCAGACCTTACAGATTCTGGTGCTATAGATCAGTGATATAACAGTAAGATTAGGATAAGTGTCGCCAGGTAACTGGTTGATCCTTGAACAGATTTGCACGAGTATTACGAAGAGTAATATGCACATTATGCGAAAGTTGTGAGTAGTTTCATACTAGCAGCACAACTAGCCGCTTAATAATTTCATTTTACCTGATAACTACTGCAAACTAAAAAAACTACAAAAATAAAACACCCCCTTGCTTTCATTGACATAGTTACAGTTGGGCGATTTCACGTAATATCGAACAAAACATGGCCAATCAAACTCTTAAATTTCTTTCAAAATTTTATATATTGTTGTATGATGAATGGAAAAAGGAATCCACAATTGATTTTGCTGTAAAAACTTTTTCTGTAGCACAGTAAATCAATGATGACAAAGAGGTGGAGTACCACGCTTACCTGCTCTGCCGCTTTTTCCGGCCTTGGCAATGAATTACGCAAAATAAATTAAAGCTATGTACTTCAAATTTATTTTGTTAAATATATACATATTTGTGCTTACATTTAGTTATTTTTTGCTTCTCTCGATAGCTCAGACATTTTTTATAAAAATCTCAAACCTGACCCAAAAACATTTTTTTTCTTATAGTTTGCAGGCCTTTATTTCAAAAAGGGCTTGTGATAGAGCAGTGAGAATGCCGCACAACTTTCTCAGCATGCTTGTTTATAAAACTGCCAACGTTTACATCCATAACACTCTTCAATTAGAAAAATATAACCACGCTAACTTCAAGACAAGAGCATGCAAGGAAAACTTCTGACAGCAATTAAAAAAAACATTTTTGATATTTCTTAAACTTTCCCCACTTATTCTCCTGCACATCAGCTTTAACAATCAATAAAAACATGTTGCATAATGTGGTTTAACTTGCAGCTACGGCCCATCAAAAAATACCATTGAGCAAGGCTGGGCAATGGTGTATCAGACTTTTTACTGCCCGCTAGATATGTAATGCAGGCCTGTACTTCAGTTTCTTAAAAAGCAAGCAGCACTGAAATAGCTGTGGACTGCACTGAGGGTGCCTATTTTGAAATAATTTGATCACGGGAGCAGCCATGAGTGCTGGATTAACGAGCAAGCATGCGTGCACAGTCCAGCTTGTTTGAGGGAAAAGAGAGCTCGTTTTCGTGTCCTCAGACTGATAGATTGCGATACAGCCAGGGGTAATTTCCACCCATGTGCACTGGAGCGTCGCTATTTTATCCACCCTTTGCTCATATTGCAGCCACGTGCTGTTAACACGGCATATCGGAATTGCAGACATAGCAGACATTCTTTGCGCTTTTGTGTGTTCAAAATAAATGCAAATAAAAGCATCGTTTACAATACCTATTTGTATATTTAAAAAGCGTCCAGAGGTGACTCATCTAACTGGGCACGGCAGTATTCCAACGCACACACTTGGTGCATAAACAGAGGCGATCGGCCAAGGCCACAGATTCCCTGTCTGAAGCTCAAGTTCCTCGACCACATTCGGCGCCCGCACAAAAAATACTTCAAGGCGTCAAATGTAGAATTTGAAGTTTGACTGCGTTTCCTCAGTGGGAAGCACCATGAAAACTCTTTTGTCAGGCAGCTGTGAGCAATCGCTTCCCACACGGGAGTTACAGCCCCTTCCGCCAGAGAAACTGCGCAGCGCGAATTGATCTTAGTGAAAATGATAAAAGTGGTGCTCCAGGAGCCAAACCAAAAGGAAACAAACGCCAAACTATAGACAACCGGATGTGCCTGCCCATCTCAGATGGTGGAAGCAGAGTTGTACTGGCCATGCACACAGTCCCGCTGCTCACACTTAATTTGACTCCAACAGTGTTAACGCTTTGCTCTGCTCCTGAAGCGTTTCATGGCAGCAAAGTATAGCTCCTGGCAAAATTATTTTGCAGACTACCATTTGAAGCTGAAGAAACTCATCCCAGAGAATCGATATTTTCACAGAGTTACCGAGTTATACATCACAGCTTGATGCCGCAGTGCCTCAATGAACTCCACGCGTACAACACTAATTTCTAATCATTTATTACTGTGTTTATTGCTACTAATTTGCAATGGCAAGACATAATTACTCAATACAATATCATGCCAAATTGAAAAATTGTACGCGATCACAAATGTCATACAATTTTCAGACCCATTTGTGCTTGGTCTTGCACAAGGGCCTCTTCACACAGGAACATGGACTGTGCACGCTTGCTGCTTGTGTAATCCTGTACTCATTGCTGCTTCCATGAACAAATCATTTCGAAATTGGAATCCTCAGTACAATCAACAGCTATTTTGGTGCTGCTTTCTTTTAAGAAATTGAAGTATAGGCATGTATTCCATACTTAGCAGGCAGGAAGTCCAATCTACAATTGCCTAACCTTGCGCAAGGGCATTATTTGAAGGGCTGCAACTACAAGTCAAACCACTTTATGCAACATGTTTTCATTATGTGTGAATGCTGATGTGCGGAAAAATGAGTGGTGAAAGTGTAAAAAATATCAAATTTTTTTTTTAATTGTCATCAGAAGTTGCATGTTTTTTTGTCATCATGTTGCATACTCTCTTTTTTTAAGTTGGCACGATTATATACTTTTACTGAAAAGCATTATTAATATAAGCTTTGACAGTTATATAAATAAGCATGCTGAGAAAGTATTGCAGAATTTTAACCACTCTGTCGGAAGCCTTTTTTGAAATAAAGGCCTGCAAACTACTCAAAAAAACGTTTTTTGGCCAACCTTGAGATTTTTTTTAAAAATATCTCAACAACCCAGATAAGCAAAAAATAACTGAAAGTAAGCAAAAGTACGCCTATATTAAGCTAAACAAATTTTAAGTACGTAGCTTTATTGTATTATGTGTAACTCATCGCCAAATTAAAAAAAAAAAACAGCAGAGCAGGTAAGCGTAGCACTCCACCTCTTCGTCATTATTAATTTACTGTGCTTTGAAATAATTTCTTATAGCAAAACCAATTGGGGATCTCTTCTTTCCACTCATCAGGCAACAATATATACAATTTTGAAAGAAATCTAAGAGGTCCACCAGCCATGCTTTGTTCGATCTTACGTAGAATCACCCAGTTGCATCTTAAAAAAATGGGCCTCCTGATCAAGAGAGGCTTTCCAATTTTCTGAGAGGTGGGTGGGGGGGTCATTGTCAAGCTGGACTAGCTATGCATTAGGAATGAAGTACACAAAATAAGCCTGTCATTTCTACAGTCCAAAGCTAGAATTTCCTCATACAATGATCATTAAAACATTATATTACAAGTATAAAGAACAAAGTGCAGCTGATAATTAGCAATGATAAGGTATGCAGCCTTGACACTTGCCTCCTCCCCTTGGCTCCTGCATGACTAATGCCGCTGCCCTTATCAACCTTTTTTATTCTAGTTTCGACACAGAAACATCTGTGGTTGGGTAAAGACATAAAAAAGCAGAGATTCCTTCTATGGATAATGAAAAAGAAAACGCTGTTCTTTGCAAGCTTACTTTCAAAGCCGCTCAACTACATCACAAATAAACGAGAAGAAAGGCAACAAATAGAAGGGCCCAACTTTTGTGAGTGACAGCCATAAAATAATTTAATTAGATTTAATCATACATTAAATGTACTACAAGCATTATAGGGTTACACGAACTGTAAATGAATTTTTTTTAAAGACAAATTGTAACTAGTGTAATAGAACTCAGGACCTCCACATTGTGCATTTGTGTTGGTTCTACCACCAGTTGCTCTACGGTGGCTACTGCTTATCTATCCACCTTCTTAGATACATATGTATGTGTACAAGATTTAACTCTGGCAGTGCTAGCCCATCGCTTGTGGCCATGGCCGCAGATGTAGCACAACTTGTTGTTTCATGGTGTCCAGTAGTCCACACGAACAGTTAAGAAGCTGGCCAATTAATGTTCATTTGCTATTTGAAGGCATAAAAACTACCAGAGTTGAAATTTTTGCTACGCAATGAACAAGAAAGAGAGCCGACAGGGGGGCAAAGCGACTACTTACCCTTGTACGTTAAACATAGCAATATGTAACGGTATGTGTAAAACCAATGGGGATTAAGAAAGGCACACAAAGTAGAGAAAAGCCGTGTACCTGGAATGCCTCTCAGCATTCCCTTCTGTTTTTTATGTACTGCCGCCCTCCACAACAAATAAGCCCCCCATGCCCCTCTTTTTTTTTTGCCAAAACAACAAATAATAAAACCCAAAAAAGCATAGGAGTACCTATAAACAATTCCATGACAGATCACTGGATCACATAAACACATCTTCTCACTATGACCATGCATATTCTCTGACAGTAAATGCCACTTGTGTACATAAACTGTGCATCTTTTGTAGGTATATAGAACGATGTCTACAGCTGTTTCTGAAAATGGAATTCATCTTTATGCCCACAATAAAAAAAAACTTTACCATGTTCAATTCAGTTTTCACAGACAGCCCAGGCAATTATATCATTATTGAATCACACAGTATACTGCCTTCCTAGGCAGAAATAACCTTTCAGAGTAGAGTCTGAATAATTCACAAAAATTTTTTATTGCAACTCCATTGAATGCAGAATGAAACAGCTTCCGCATTGAAATAACAGAGCTACATTAACATGCAGTGATGGTACTACACAGGACAAGCATTTTTGTTCATTTTACTAACCTTGATGTGCTTGAATATAATCTCATTTTCTTCAGGTGTCAGGACATCTTTCAAAGGGCGCATAAAATCCTTGAGGAATAAAAAAAATTAAAAATACATAAACAGTGTGGCATGGCCTTGCACTTATTCTTTTTCTAAAGAAAGCATATCTTTTCTGCTTCTAACTTAGTGCAAGCATAAGAAGTTCAAGGGGGCAAATGAACACGTGCCATGTACGAAGGAAAGAAATTCGATTGAAAATATTCAAAACTTTTCAGTCTATACTTTTTTTTAGCCTGAAAGAACCTAGACAGCTCTTGTAGAGTGGAGAGTTATTCATATGTATCAGACAAAACAGTTACACACAAACAACCACTATAGATGAATGATCAGTACAGCGGTGGTGGTGGTGGTGGTGGTGATAGCAAATTTCTTGAAATTCTACTCGGGCAATACCTTGCAGGCCCAAACACTAGGATGGCCCCTAATGAGGAGTGACCCTTTCATCCCAGGAGACGAGGGCTTGCTGTGTTCGGACTTTATGCAGCACACATTTGAATAATAAGAGCATACATTGCTTCCTATGACATGGCAGCACTCTGCGCAATCCCAAGTTGGCTGGTATGGTTTGAGCCTGTTCCAGTAGTCACTCATGAAGAGTTCAGCATTGTGAATTATGCCTGCCCATGGTTATTATTGCACAAGAAAAAAAAAAGCATCTGCTTCGTTAGCAATTTTTTTGAAGAGTTGTGGAATTGTAGCATGTGCGTAAACTCTGAGCGATGTAAAAACTTGAGAATGCTGCCTACGAATTATAAGAATCCTGGTACTTTGTGAAGCAATATAAACTCTCATATCTGTCAGCACTGGTTCCACTACAACCACTTCTTTTAAAAATAAAAATATCTGTCAGCACTGGTTCGACTACAGCCACTTATTTTAAAAATTCTTAACTATGACTAGCTGTCAGATTGCAGAATAAGTACTCTGAAGAAATAAATTCTACATATGCTTCACTAGGTAATAATAATGGCGACCTGCACTTTCAAAGAAAACGAGACCGGAGGACCCTGATCGACAGGAGGAAGCTGGACTGAAAGTAAGCACCCTGTAATGTCTTGTTAATGTATAGTTAAGCCCCTTTATAAGGAGCACGCACTGGGCAACAATTCTTGTCTCTTATATGAGATGTTTCTTACAAGCAGGGTACCATTTTCTTATCAACCCCTATTTTACCGTAAGCACACTTGTCTCTAATATCAGTGTCTTTTATAAAGGGGTTCGACTATAGTTGCTGAAGGTCAAAAAGCAGGCATTATGACCACTCATTATTCACTAGCCCTTGTGAAGTATCACTGCACACGACACATAAAAAATCGACGTGTTGAAACACTTACGCGAGTAATCATATTGAGGGCTTCAATATAGTTTTTTTCTGTTTCTATGAGCTCTTTGATACAGTAGTCTCTCTTTTCCAGAGGTGCAGTAGGAGCAGCTGCAGGTACCTAAATCACAAGAGAAGTCACATAAGAACACTCCAGCAGACTATAAGGCGAGCATGCATATCGCGCTGCATCCTGCAGCTGAACAAATTACAGTCGACTTCCATTACTTCAATGCTGCTTCAGTCTATCCCACCACATTTTTAAACATACAACAGCAATAGAAAGTTCTCACCCTTGTACTTTTTCAGAGAATTTATTATTCACAAGTATGTTATGATGATCCCAAATTTGTTAACACAAACTAAAAATACAGTGATCAGCTTGGGTGGAACTCCACAATTAAACTTCTTAGCATGAAAACAAATGGACAAGAAAGAGGGGAGGTGGCATATACAAATGCTTACTTTCAGCTAAAGCTTTAATACAATGTGGTCAGAAATAAAATTGTAGTTGTAAGTTAGCACTTGTTTGCGTCAATTGACCCTTGCCTCATATAACATTTTTGTGCGAAGAAGTTGGATAACTTCTTCGCACAGTTTTAAGAAGGAGGTGTAGAAGAGTGTTGATGACAAGCATTGAACAATGTAGCCAAACCCACACACACAAAAAAAGAAGGTTGCAGACTTCAACAATTTCTCAAATATACTAAGAAGTAAAATGGAAAGTTGGTATAGCCTTTTGCACTGATAACAAAGATGATTAAAACTACATTTTATGGGGGAAATTGATTACTTCAGACACTCCTGCTACTCTATCCAAAAACATGCATGAATCACTGTTGCAAGGTAATTATTCCATAAAAAAAGTTAACTTTCACAACTATCTTTAAAATCGGCATTTAGTTTGGATATCCGCATTATGTGGGACAACGTACATGCCCTTAAACGGTTGAATTAATGAAAGTCGACTGTACTTCATACAGAAACCAGTAGTGTGTTGTTAAATTCCACTGTGACAAATTTTATGGTCAACACGTGCATGCATCGAACGACCTCGCAAGACCTTGCACACAGGGTGCTTCTTTGTAGCTGCACCAAGAACTATTAAGGCAAAATAATATCACATTGATTTTTTACAATTCAGGTGTCCAGACATATAGCCTCAAGAAGTACCAACTAGTGCCCTAACAGACATTACCAGAATTACCAGAATTGTATTTGAGTAATCTTTTATTTGGACACTTCAAGTGAAAAATGCATTAAGAATGTTCGAAGTCCATTGTACATTTCAGCATTATCTACACAACAATGTGTGACAACTAAATGTGCAAGTATTTGGCATTCAGAGGCTCACTGAAAGCAAAAAGTAAATTTAAAAAAAGAGCTCTACAATGCTGGCCTAATTGCCTTTTGATATCTTAATGCTGATGCTATAACTCCCGGCATGACATCACCAAGAGATGCCTTGCAGATTGCCTTTATTACCCCACAATTGTATACTGAGCCACAGTGGCGGGTCCTGATGCTAATGACCTGCAAAAACCACACCATCACTTCATCACGCCTACATTCTGTGCAATTCCCCATCAGTCAGAATTCGCTGCTGTCAACATAAATATTACAAGCTGCTTGACAGTGAAAAAAAAAAAAAAGGAAATAAATATTGAAAGTGCACAAACCCTGAGGTCAGCAGGGATTGTAAGGTTATGCCACACATTGGTTATGATGATAACAAGATGAATGCAAGAATATGGGAGTGATATTGAGATAGTATTTAGATGCTCTCCTCCCCCAACTTGAGTTGGTTTTGCCTCCAGTAAGGAAGCAAATTAAAATTGCCTCTTAGCACCATCTGACAAAAGCTTGTTCAGCTAAAACACTGCTAAGTAATGAAAAGAATGGACTTTGAATGGACTTGAACGTATGAGCAAACTATGATAAATAATTGAATAGTTCCAAAGAAAATTTATTATTTATGCATGTACCTGTGCAAACTACTCCATATATGTAGAGTCAACCAATACGGACACTTTGATGGTAAATGAAACGTAACCTTCCTTCATATTTTTTTTCACTTCAATTTTGGTGCAGCTAGGAAAATACAAACATACTGTACTACAAGGCCTTGCTGATTTTGATAGCATTAGAACACAGGTTCAATTTCATTCTGTAATTAACTGCTCATATCAGGTGCATTACTAACGCATGAAAATATATAACTGACAGAAAAAAAAAAATGTAACCAACACACATGCAGGAAGGCCCAGCACTTTTCCAGGTTCAATTAACAAAAGATATGGGAGGCACTGCAAATGTACCTGAACTTTTGCCAAGTTGAATTTCACGTGCACTCAATCAGAGCAGTAGGGGATTAATACTGTATCATGTGTAGCTTACACGATAAAGTTATTAAAACTTTAGTGTTTCTATACTATGGTACACTCTGATAGTGAAACATCAGTTCTACATCTTTCAAAGAACTCCGTATAACCTTATAATTGGAGATTTGTTCAACCCAAAATAAATAGTTGCAGTGCCTATTCATGCAGTGACTTTTCATAATGCCCTTTATAGCCAGCACTCTAGTGGCCACTGGAACACAGTGGCTTGTTCTGGTAGGACTAGTGAGTTGAGGCACGAGGCAATCGTACATGCCACTATTGTCAAATATTGGCCCATTGTCATATATCAGTGTAGAGAAAGGTTTACAGTATGCTGGAGAGAGATCATTTTGTTCGGTATATTTAATATTGTGATCATTAAAACAAACTCACGCTACTTCTAACGGAAAGCTGTACCAGTCATTTTTTTATTGTGTTCTACTAAAAAAAAGTTGAGAAGAACAAAAAACAAATGCAGCTGCACTACTACAAAACCTGACGAAGTGGGTAGCACTGTCGCACAGTGATTCCTGTACATAGTAAGGCTTGATTGGGTAAGGCAACAAGAAACTGGAACCTTCTAGCAGGACACCTGAGCACTGCATGCCCACAGAACTGCCACACTTTTCAAATTCTGTGCAGGTGGTTACAATCATTGCATACTTTTGGCACTGCTTGGCTAAGTGCAGTTGTGAAGCACTGTGTAATTAGATATATGCAGACAATATAATTACATCACACAAACCATTTTCATATACATGCATCGGATGGCCAAAGAGGCATCTGAAATATGTGGAAACTGTGCTGTTACAGCTGGCTTAGGCACCATAGTTGTCATGTGTTTGCAAGGACCACCTGCTTTGCTTGCCATTTTCCCGACAAGTTTCCTTTCAACATTTTGATATATTTCTCCTGCAGCTTCGTCCTTTTACAGTTATTCTGGCATTCACGGCAGCCTTGGACCCTACTGCAGGAAGCCGGTCATGTGGCAAGTCCATTGAACAGTCTCTATTTGTAATGCATAATTTGCATGAACCGTTTTTCTAAGTTCACTTAGTATGAAGAAGTGCATAGAGAAATGCAGTTTTTCATACATAGCAGAGATGTAGAATCTAGGTTCCATTGTATTATCCTACAAAAACTATTATGTTAAACTGGTAATTCTCTTGCTTTCGTCACAATAGATAGCTCTGTTTCTACAAACAGATGTTCAATGGTATAAGCCTGAACAATGCCGTCCAATTTCGTAAGTTGTGAATGTGTCTGAAAGCGGAAAAAGATTAAAAATTAATTAAAAAAGAAAGATTTGCGATTCACGCAATCCCACTTAAATCATCGCTGTTACGATAAGTTTGGTTGCATTGTTGTTGTATGTGTGTGATGATTGAATTATTGTATGCTGTGTGATGTTTGACTTGATTGCCTTACTGCCTGTACCATTCCTGCTTGGGCTCCATGCCTGCAGTATCTTGTAAATAAATAAATAAATAAATAAATAAATAAATAAATAAATAAATAAATAAATAAACAACTGCCGGGTAAAAAAAATATTGGGGTACAACTTAGGCTCGAATTAAAATTTGGAGTAACCTCTTAAAATAACAAAATAGCTACTAGGCCAAATACTTGCTAGTGCCATTATTGCTCGAATCACTGCATTGCTCATTCAGCACTGGCGAGTGAGGAATAGTGTAGACGCATACCTGGACCCTCCGAAATGCACAGAGGTCTTCGTAGATGTCCTCATCATCATTGGTCACTGCCTCGTACTCATACTCTCCAAACTTGCCAAAGGCCTCGTTGCTGACATGCACAAGACATGCAAGGTTGAGCAACAAGGCAACAGAGCAGCACAGGCACACAAGAGAGCGAACACAGGCACGGCCGGAGACAAACAGTTTCGCTGCCCAAACAGTGCATGTCATGCAAAAAACAAATGCAGTAATAAATGCCTTTGACAACAACAACAAAAAAACATTGCTGCCCTTTGTTCAGTGCTTAAGACAAACACTAGCTGTAAGCCAATTATAGTTAGCACCGCTAAGTTTCAACAAGAAGCAGCATAGCTGCTACAGAGTACTAAAGATTACCAATTTCGAAACTACCTCTTTATATAGCTTATGCAAGAATACAGTGATGGAAGCGACATTTTGTTTTTTGGAGCAGATTCTGGAGCAGAAGAAATGGTGCTTTGGAGCAGGCTTAAGTGTCTTCGTAGCAGAAAAAAAAAACGCTACAGCTTAGAGTTGCTACTGATGTTTTCAAAGCAGATGCATGTTACTAACGACTGCTGAAGTCTAAAACATCACTAAAACATCTAATAAATATTTATATTTATTATTAAACATGCCGCATACTAGTACGCAGCTAGTACACAAGCCGTATGGTAGCAGCATCGGCGTAAATCATGGGGGTAGGGGGAGGGGGCGGGGAGAGGGTCAAGGGAGTGCGGACTTTTCTTGTGTTCAGGTTGGGTAGGACAGCCTTTGCAAATGTCCCCCTTGAGGTTTAGCTTTAGCACATGATATAATTGAGTTAACAGTTAAGTAGAGCACAATGAACATTTTAAAGGCTTTTCATGTGTTAATGCGAACCTGTGTGAAATGCCACTCAGCTGTGTGAACTACGGACATTGCAAAAAGGTGAAAAAAAAAAAAAAGACTGAAGAGAACAATACGATTGCTCGAGCTTCGACCCCATGCTCGTTTTTCTTTATATTCTAGTTGAAAGCATAATTTAATTCTTATATAAATAAAAATACAACCCATATTAAAAATACAAATTGGCCACCATGGCCTGGCATGTGTCACCCCTTGTGATTTTTCTGGATTTACCTCACTGAGTAGCATACTAGGCTGATGGTGTATACAGCTTGCTTTTGGTTTCGCTTAGGCTCAGTGGGTGGTCTCGTAGTTGAACTTCATTCTTTTTAGTTTGCCAACACCATTTTGGAGCAGGTTTGGGCAGTTACTAGCAAATATTGCACTTTGGAGCAATTGGAGCAGCACTTCCATCACTGAAGAATATCTTGAAGTTAAGAAAGAAATAAAAACAGATATCAAACTTTAAAATAGGAAAAAATAAACATATAAAAACCAATGACAGCATGCCACGAATGAAAGACCATGCAGTAAACAGTACACATAAAATAGATACTAAACACACACACATGTACGTAATAAGTAGATACTACATTGAAGTTGCAAACAGGACACAGGAACTTTGAGGGCCTTGCTATTCAGTCAAAAATGAAACAGTTCCTCCACAAACGTGTTTCAATCTACTGGGGACCAACAAACTTGATGAGGTGCACTCAACAGTCTCCCACTATACAGCAAATAAGCAGAGCTTCAAAAAATACACCAACTAAAGCATCATGCTAGCAAGCTGCAGTCACACTAAACTAAAAGCAATACACATGCCTCTACTTAAATGGCCAAAAGAGATATGAACACAGCGTTCTTTTCGGAAATGCAGTGCAGGCACAGCGACACGAAACAAGGAACCGTGCTATTGCCAATCATTCCTGGATGCTATTTGAGCCAAAAAAGATTTACATATGCCAGGTTCATTTAACAGGCTACTCCCGTGTTCGAAAAGCACAATATTAACAGGAGATCAGGTCGTATTGTATACATCTGTGAAAATGAAACTTACTGATCATGCCCACTTCCTGATTTCTTATAACATCTATTAGCTATTACACTGACTTCAACAGTGAAAATACATTGTTCCAACAAGTGACATCATTTACCTGAGACTTATTGTGCAGATCATATTCCTGAAACAAGTATATATATATAAGTGGAAACTATAATTACAACACAAAAAAGGCCATTAATTAAGCTCAATAAGAATATACTTCTATAATAATAATAATATTAAAAATAATAATAATAATAATAATAATAATAATAATAATAATAATAATAATAATAATAATAATAATAAAATAAAGGGTACATATTTTTGTCCTGGTATGCTTCATCTTTAACAGCCAATAAATAAGTCCAAGGTCACAAAATAAAGCAAAATAATGGTCAAAGGAACAGTGCAAATGTTTTCCTTCTGAAGCAATTAAAGTTATGTACGAATACATAGAAACAGTCTCTGAAAAGAAGATGTTGTGCAAGTGAACACAGAAGTTACCCACCTTAAAAATATTGGCCATAATTTCCCAAATTGCACCCAAGTTAGAGGCAATAGCAACTGCTTAACATGAGCACACAAGAAATACAATGGCATCAAGGGAGGAATGACCGCACAAGACACATTCTAGAACAAGGAGTAATATAAAGGTGTCTGTCTTGCAACAAAACAGACAGCCTTGCATCGCAAAACAGGATGCAACTATAGTCACAAGTCTAATCATGAAAAAAATGCTGGGCCTTTTTCAATATGAGGAGGAATCTGCTCTTTGGGTGCACAGCCAGACTGGCTCAGACAAGGCACTACCTCATTCACCCGTAGGGTGACGTAGCACAAGTCTTCGTAAACATCTTCTTCACGTGTTCGACGAGGTGTTACAGGAAAATCGAAGACCACCATAGTGTCATCATTGTGGCTGAAAAGGGTGGCATCGACAGGTTCGAACAATGACAACCCGAATGAACACAGTATTATGGTACGCTCATGAAAAGAATAATAAACAAACTGACAATTCTTAAGTTACTTATAAAAGTGAGTTCATACTGTCACACGGTTGCTTTGGAGAAATTCGAGTCGTAAGTTGGCAGCAGACACTCCCAGCACATATATGGTGCTGGTTGTATAAAACAGCAACAAATAGTAGTGTTGTTAAAATGGCTAGTTGAGAAACCATGTCTCAAAGGCATCATGTAGTGCTCAAGTGGCTAGGAGGGAATCGTGTTGAAAATACTCTGGCACTCTAAAAAGTATGCAGCTTTAGAAATGGAGCAGTAAAAAGGTGAAAATTTATAGTTTTATATCTAGAATGACGTCAACATTCTATAGCCTTCATTACAACATAAACCTAGCTGAAACTAATAAAACTGATAAAATATTAAATTTATGTTTTTAGTTATTGAGGAGGAAACAACAAAGGAGACCTAAGCATACAACATTTTTGGCCATGATGAATGTCACCCATATACCATCAGTCGAAAGCAAAGCACGAGCTGTTAAAGATTCCTCGTAGTGGTTACAACCCCTTTTCAAAAAGAGAAACAAAAAACTCTCTTGCAAAACAAGCACAGCGATATATATGTTCAGCCATGGTCTTCGAGATTCCCTGCAGGACAGACTTCCACATTGCCTTGTGACCTCTGAAGTGATGGCGAACAAATAACAGTGGGCAACAGAATCTAGTTACAGTTTGTACATGATTAGTCACGGCCGGGGCCCCAACGTTTCTGCTGCTTTGTCAAGCCAGAGTCGATAAATCACACTGTACCTTTGGTATGTGCCCTCTAGCACATACCTGCACATACCTTTGGTACCTTTGGTACCTTTGTGCCCTCTAGCTCCGAATGTGCCCTCTAGCATAGGGCCTACATTTGTGTTCGCATGGAAGAACCAATAGAAATATCATGGCATATGCACTGTCGCACCCAACTTATGCCCTCACATGCTCTACCTAACAATACTACAGCCTTGAAACAGTGTGAAAGAAAATGTGCCAGAGGTGGAGTAAAAGAACATGAGCAGTGTAAAAGAAAATGTGTCAACAGCAAACTGATGCACTCAATTTCTGAAAAACCACTTTGATGAACAAATGAATACCTGCAGGTGTCTCTCAGTGGCTAAGTGACTAGCACATGACTGGCACAAGCAACACTTGCTGAACAATGTTAAAGCAGTGACAGAAGACAAGATAGCTGCACTGTTTTCAGTGCTAGGAGCTGTACTTCACCACAGTGTCCGACAGCAGACAGCATGGTGAAATTATGCATTGAAAAACTGCTAGTGTATCCACAGCTTAACTCTCGGGGTAGAAATAGTTATGGCTGTTCTGGCAATTCCCATTATCATTGAGCAAACTGGTATGATCTGGTTGAAATGGAATTCAGAGAATTACCACAAGAAATGCATAGGCTATACTTATTAATAGCATTTTCTCCTTTTATTTCCTCTTCTATCATTAGCACACATGACATTGTTGCTCGCATTGATCACTTAGCAAGAAGAATGACAAAAAAAAAAAAGGATTTCAAAGGTAATAGGTTACAAAATACAGGCCCAGTGAGAACAGACGGCAAAATCTAAGATGTCCTTGAACTTTAAAGCTGCACTTGACTATACTTCCAGTGAAAACCATAGCGCTGTTCTTTTCATTACTACAGGCTAAAAATCAAACTACAGTGCTATCATAACCAGGTTGCAGCATTTATCAGCTTTGATTACATCCTGAGGGCTTAAACTTCAAGCACTTATTTTCTACTTGCCCCCTAGTGCCATAACACCCTTTATTTGCATCCAGCAAAACAATAAAGACATCAACTTATTTATGTGCTTTGATAAGGAGCTGGCCTCCCATTTGTGTGGAGTAATGACAACAAAGTACAGCCACAGGTACTGTAAATCTTACTAGATGCATTCTCACATAAATCGGCTTCTGCATTCACCTGTTTCCAAGATAGCTTGAGCATGGACTATGCGACAGCAGTTAATGTACCCATTGCTGAACCAGAAGCACTATTGTGCACCGTAGCCACTACCTTATCTCCATAATAAAATGCTGCCTGGGCATTGTCTTCACATGACTTAGTTTAAATCACGGCCCTAATAACAGCTGTCTTCATAAACATACAATGAAGTAATTCAGGGCCATAAAGTCAGATATACTTACTTGACAGCGTCCTCAAGATTGAACACCTCATCATTGTAATAGTCATGCGACGTTGATGACTTGTCTGAAAAGCCCCTGCAAGAGAAAGAAGACCAACAAGATGAGTGATCACCTCTTACAGAAGGAGAATATCGACTCCTTTGAGTTATTTAATGAACTGTTAACTTGAAATTTAATTTAGACTCTGAAAGCTAATTAATGCAAACTAATTTCCAATTTTGGATTGGTCTAGCTATGTTTTTAATATATATACAGGCTGTTCAGTTCAAAGAGCACCCTTCTTTCTGTTAGTGCATACTGTCTGCCTGTCCATACCCGAAATATTAGCTACCTTTGTTCTGTGTCACTGGACACTCCTTTCAAGTACTTCAAAAATAAAGCCAGTTTTTTGCCAGCATTTGACACAGTGGATGAAATCATGAGCAGAAAACAAATAAAGCCCCAGATGGCAGGAATGCAGATGACAACTAGCCACCTCTTCTTTTCCTGACAGTGCGATGCCATAAGTCATATTTATGCTTAAATCAGCTAATGCAAGCAATATTCTGGTGTCCCCTTGAGTCTGAAATATTGACAGTCTACTACAGTTAAATTAAAAAATAATAGCATTTATCCACTATGGCAAAAAAAAAGTTATTTAGAAAAAAAGGAATAGTGGAAATAAGAAGGAATAACAAAAGAAAAAAAAAAAGGAAAAAGGCCTGTCTAAAACTTTAGTATGTCTTCTTTCGGTTTTCCTTATTCGCATTTTTCACTTTCCTGGCTAGTTACTTTGTCATGGAAACAAAACTGGGAATCAAACTTGTGAACTTGTGCTTAACAGTGCTATGCTGTAACATACGTACTAAGCCAATACTTGGTAGATACTCATATGCACAGCAATTATCTTAATATACCACATAAGTTGATGCAGGTGGAGGCAACAAACCATGACCTACAGGAATGCACCACTGCTACTGAATGAATAAATAAATAAAATATGTTGCCAATTTGTAGTATTTCTATGTTTCATACCTTCAAAGGTCCTAAGACGACAAGAGACATTAGTTACACGGACACTAAAGAGCAGAACATTTTTTTCCATAATGATGAATTCCAATTTTACAATCCTGAGAAAAGCAGTGTTACCGAGACCTGACGTTTGGCACACGAGAAAATATCTGAAAAAAAAAAAAAAGTGGCGGGAGATGTCAACTTGAAGTTCGCGCACCAAGCACCGTGATGTCATAAATTTTGAGGGCATCTAGTGGGTCTTATGTGGCCTCTAATTGATAAAAATTACGTACATTGTCATCTGTGGTTGCCATAGAACTAGCATAAGTAGTTTAAGATAATTTCATCGAGTCAATCGCGAAAATAGAAAAAATACATTCTGTAAATTTTGACGTCACACACAGTGATTGTGGTGCAAAATTTAAAAACGAACCCTCCACTTAGATTTTCTTCACTAATAATGAACTTGTGAGGGTGAAACATATGACATTGGCATTCTTAGAGTGAAGTTTCTCTGTCTAAACAAAGTCATCGTTTCTCTTTAGTGTCCCTTTAAAAAAAAGTGCAGCATTGCATCAAATGCTTGAAGAGTGCTTGTGATGCTAGGTGTTTTTAACTCTGGAAGTAAAACTTAGTTCAGGGACAATGGACGTGCCACTTTTCATACTATGAGCCAACCCTCATGCTCCTATCACATGCAGCAAGCCAAGGCAGTCTTTTTAAAATCAAATGCCCTCTCAATCCCCCCCCCCCCCCTGTGAAAGGTAAGAAAAAAGGGCATATGTGATAATATGGGGTACACACACCTAGACACATCCTGAGTGAGTCCCGTCCTTTGTTCGTCCTGACCTCGCCACGCGATATCTCAGCCTCATGACTTCATACCAGCAAGCGCGAAGCAGCGCTACATACTACCCTCCTGTGGCTTTTGTAAGCGTCGCGCGGCACCCCCTTTCCAATCCTTGCTGCGCGCGTTAATTTCTTTTCTCGCAGACGTTATGCACTGTAGGTGCCACCTCTGACAACGGATGGAGGTGCATACGGCGCGGCTTCTGGAAAAGGGCGGGAAAGAAGACGGTGCACATCGACAACGTCTATCCCGGGACGTGCTGTGTTCGATTCCCAGTACTAGTACACAGTAAACACCAGTGTCGTCGCACCCACCGGTTGTTCTAACGGAGAGACGTACCCCGGCCAAACGTTCCCCTGGGGTGATAGATGCTCCGGCCTGACGCTTGGGGTAACAGTGGATTGCTCGGTGTTGCGGTATGCTTCCATACACTAACGAGCGCAGCAATAGACCTTTCGGTCGCGGCCACATGCGGGAGTCATGTGTGTGAGAGTGATTTTCGAGAAGAGTGAGAAGGCATCTAACTTCTGTCTGCCTCTTGGGCGACACGGCGCAGTGCCTTGTAGGGGAAGAAGGGATAAAAAAATCAGTGAAGAGATATAGATAAAGAAGTAGGACAGGCAAGCGACAGAAAAAGAAGGAGATAGGAAAGATGAGAGCCAGTCGAAGAAGTCCGAGGACGGGGCACCAAACCGCGAGAGCTGCACGGCGTCAGGAGACCGCGGAGGGCGAACCAGTCGGCGAGAGCTACGCTGGTGTCGGAGATCGCAGGTGTCGGAGAACCCTTCAGCTTGAAATCCTCCGAGCAACTCGGAAGCGATCCCCGAAGTCGCCTGACCCGCAGAGCACAAGCGCCCCATATGACGTCATACCACGTGACAGAAAACGGTTCCGCCTCTCGTATTGCTATTGTTCCAGTGTCAGTGGTTGGATATATTTACCCACGCAAAAAGACGGGAACACATACACACACAACCGTGGTGGGGGGGGGGGGAGGGGATATCACCCCCACCCCCCAGTATGTCTCTATCAGCATTCCCTCTCCCCCTCTCTTCAGTGCTTGCAGTCTACAGGACCACTGTGAGCACTTGTGCTGTGATAAGATTATTGAGCGCTTGTAAAAAAAAACAGTAGACCTCGCTCCCTAATTAGATTTATTTCCCAAAAAAGTGTACATATATGTTGTGACGCAATGGTGCTGAATGTTGTCGGTGTAACATTGAAAGTTAAAAAAAAAAGAAACAAAAGAAAGAGACTGTTATGCGTACAGCACGGGCCACCAACCAAACGAACGCGAGAACATTCACCACGCTACACTCTAACCAAGCAGTGGACGACTCATTCTTCACTGCATTGGTGCATGTCACCGAGCGAGTTTGTACAGCCGGTGCCGCTCTTTGGTGGTCAGACGCTGCACGTTCCCGCGGTCGACGACAGACGGTGGAAATCGAACTGCAGGGCCATAAATAAACAGGCCGCAAGGATGCGGACTCAAGAGTTTCCTGCACACTTGCAAAATCTATTCGGTCAGTGGCGATGCCGTGCACGCTTGGGCAGTTCTCTAGCTCTATGGAAATCTGATGGATGGGCTCCTCAGCTACTCAATCTCCGACGCTTATGTTACAGCGCACGAGAGGAGCATACTAGGATCAAAAGAACGAATGCGCGGCTATCGAGTTCACGTTGGGCGCCTCCACTGGTTCCACCTCGCCAGATTTCGCCGAGAGCTACGCGCTAAAATCTAAAAAAAAAAAAAAAAAAACTCGGCGACAACTTTTCTTGGTACTGAAGGAAAAGCTACGGAGGCGGAGCTTCTGCACATGTACCACTGCACAAGCCGTCCGCTTGTGCTTGTCGTCGAGTGTTTCTTTACTTTGTGTGTGTGTGTTATTTGCGGCCAAAGCATGTCGGTAAGCAAGTACCAACTAGGCCAACAATCAGTATTGTTACAGTCCGTTTTGGCGCGCGTCTCGTAACGCTATGGAAATTTAGTGACGGGGGCGCGCCATCAGCGTTTTATGTAGAGGTAGACACCGCTTAATGTAGACGCAGACGCCGCTTAGCATTTGAGGTGCACATAAAAATGCAAGACTTTCTCGCGCGTTCAAAAACGCCAAGTCACAACGAATAAATTAAAGTAAATGCGACTATTTTAATGGTAGCAGCTGCGGCCTGTCTCAAAAAGCTCCACGCAAAAAATAAAATAAAGGAGGAACTTCTATATTTCACTGTGAAAATACGGGCGCTGTTGTGGAAGTGCATTCAGTGGCGCTAGGATGCCCGCGTTTTGGCTCTGTAGCCTTCGCTCCAATGACAAGAAAAGTTGTCACCTTCGTTCGCGTGAACACACACACACACACACACACACACACACACACACACACACACACACACACACACACACACACACACACACACACACACACACACACACACACACACACCACACACACACACACACACACACACACACACACACACACACACACACACACACACACACACACACACACACACAACAGCTGCCAATAGAGGCTACGATGCGAAGAGAACGATAGAGGCACTCTTGGCTCGCAAACATACCCAAACGACAATGAAACTTCAATATGGTCCCGAGCCAGAACGAGAGGTGACCGAGAGTGACAAATGAGAAAAACGCCAGTAAGTATCGGTAGATGAAAAAACCCCGATATTCATGGGGGATGCCGCACTGCAGGGCTGCGGAAATTTCGAGCACCTGGGGTTCCTCAACGTGCAAATCAATCTAACCTGAAGCATTCTGCCTACATCGATATGCGGCCCCCACAACCGGGATTTGATCTAGCGACCTTCGAGTCAGCATTCAAGCGTTGGCCTAACGTCACAAAAGGAACGAATTGAAGACTTAGTTGCATTGCATATGATGAATAGATATAAAATATACTCTCTATACACACACGCACGCAAAGTACTTCGGTTGAAGAGACTATATATCTTCAAAGACGTACGAAAAAAAAAACAAAAACAAAGGCAAGTTCGTGTCAGTAGTTCCAACAGTGTTCAGTTATTCAGTTTATTATTTTTTTTCTTTCGTCAGTGCTGTTCGTCTGTCGGCGTTCCGGAGGTCTCTCCCCGTCACCGTGTGTTCGAGTCCCGCACCTTTAAAAGAGCGACCCAACCGCAAGCGCTTCTCGCGGTTGACGTCAATTCATGAGCACTCCGACTGCGGGTGGTGTGTTGCAGGTGATACTAA